ATTATACCTGCAGTATAATCTAAAAATATAGGAAATACAATGAAGTCATATTGACGTTATACTCGAATACATGTCTAATTAAGTGGGCTGGGTGTTCGTAATTTCACGATTGCCATGGAAATGTCACTTGACGTTTGCTTATCATCGTCTTTGTGAATTAAACGATTTCCGTTGAAAAAGATAATACACCGCCCATTAAATCGATTGTTGTAAAATCTAAACAAACGTTGGTATGTGTAAAATCCAACTCCAGTAAAGCCTAAAGCCTTTTATAAAGAATATGAAAAGTTGTTTTCATAGACGAATAGGAAGTTACTTACGAATACAGTCTTAAATGCATCCATAATGCTAGCATATATGAAGGAAATGTCAAAGGTATTTAAATCATATTTTGGTGCATTCATTCAAAACTTTAAAGCAATGTTGCGATTAAAAAGTGGAACAGATTTGGAAGCATACCCTAAATTACGCGCGTTTGTGAAAGCTTCAACGAAAGGATAGGTACAAAAGCCAAAGAAATGTTCTGCATTTACAGAAAGCGACCTAAGAGGATTTTTTATTTCATCCAGATGACAGTTTCAAAAGTCATACTTGAAGTATCGTTACTTAGCAACTTTAAAGCACGTGTGTTTTAAAGGCCCTTTTTCGCACGCATTTGAGTGTTTAAAACGGAGATTGTGATTCAGGTATAATAAAAAAGTTGTATTACTTATTCAAGTACCTATACCTATAGTCTGACATTCTGTATCAAATCGAAGCTGCAATAAGTTTACGAAAAAAAAACCAACCATTGTCCTTTATGAGAGCATGACCTTTGTTCTGTCGTCGAAGATTTTCACGGAAAACTGATTAGTTCTTCTGGATTCCTCTAAAAACAAGATAACTAACTTTCACCTTTAGACGAAACAACACAAAGTCAGGAAAATATAAAGGTAAGAAATTATATTTGGAGCTTCCGTTACTACTTGTATCGATATAATTCAAAAGTTATGGTCTCTTTTAGTATAGCATCACCAACGAGGTAAATTACAAGAAACAGATAAAATCAATTTGTATCCTGTTTTCCCAAAAGTGTCTGTTTCCGGCAGTTGAAATGTAAATAAAAGTACTGGAAAAACGACACTTTTATCACAGAATGTCTCGTTAGTGCAATCAGGTAAAAGTTTTGTATGTTCATCCTGTGTCGCGCTTCCCAAATTGTGCAATCAACATTAAAACAACAGGAAATTGACCGAATAATTCATTCCGATAAACGCGACCATTTTATAAATGTTTGCTACATCTCTATACGAAGAGAAATTTATCTATATCGGTAAAAGTATTACACTAAAGACAATTCGAGCTGAATAAAATAACGGAAATCGATTTATATTCAAGAATCGCCTTGGCGCGATATTTTTGAGGCGCATATATTATAATGAAAATCGGTCATAAATCGGACGTATAAAAAGCAAACTGTATCTGAAAGAGTGTCAGGTGTGCCGTTGACAATAGCTCCGAAATCACAAGTACATGTCGGGTTGGGGCAGCATGACAACTTCAAATATTGTATAAGACGCAAATGGATTACCTCGCTCATTCGAAAATCCATTAACTTTTTTCGAGTACACAATGAGATGTAATGTAAACCGATCGCAGCCTGTTAACAATAAGGTACTTAGGTATAATTAGGGCATCGTAGGTTTTAAAGGGAATTAACAAGGCCAACTACACAATAAGTTTTTTATTGGTGTAATAAGAACAATATCACTTCCAAGTGCTCTAATTTTTAACCAACTTGTGGTTTTTGTTTTTATATCTCCCAAAAAGTCCAATGAGTTAGGATGAGAAGAGCATAACATATAATAGTTACTGCCATCTTAAAATTCATAATAAAGTCAGATTTACACACAAAAATTAGGAGTGTGCAGTGTGCAGGGGTGTAGGTGGGCGTTTAATTTGTACTGCATGGGCAAACAATGTTATTTTGGAAGGGACTAAAACATTTGTATTAGTCACACGAAAGGTTGTAAAACGAACCGAGAAATAGCGAGTACCCCCCCCCCCAGAGGGAGCGAAGGGCCAGAAAATTTTTGAAAATTTAATGCAAAATTTTAATTTTTTGCCAATTAATATTCATAATGTCAACGATGGCGAGAATGCGACAAGCGTCTTACTCCCATCGCTACAAGGACTTTTTAGTTCTTTTAATTCAATTCTTCAGTGAACATACCTACTCTCACAGTAACTCTCGCAAAGTGAGCGACTGCTGATTTTGAACTTTAGCTATTGCTTTAATGTTCTGTAAATGTTGTGACTATTATGAAATAATTGCTGTCGGGCACCTCACAAGTAGAGGACCAAATACAGACATTCTTTTTACCGTAGTCGTTTCGTCCATTACGATCTATGGGATAGATTATTTTTAGCCAGTTTATGGAATGTTTAGAAAGACTTAATGTGTTGTGGTGCTTACCAAAACCACTTAACTTATGTCTACCCGAAAAAGGGCACTTTGTCGTGGGCATTACCATAGTTATTTGGAGTTTTTCTACACTTTGTCTCGAGCTCGTCCTTCTCATAACGAAAATGGCTTGCATTTTTTGTACGCCCACGGCGACCAACGATGTTTACCAACGGCCAAACACACGTTACATTTTTCAATCATACATCCAACCTAATAAAAAACGGCGATCTTTGCAAAACGTAGAACTATATAAAATAGTGATTCACTACCATTATATTTGTTACTTGTTAACAGACTACGATCGGTTTACATTACTTCTCATTGTATGTACACTCGCAAAAAGTTAATGGGTTTTCGATTGGGCGAGGAAATCCATTTGCGTCTTATACATTTAAAGTTGTCATGCTACCCCAACCCGACATGTACAACAATTACGTTTGTGATTTCAGCGTATTGTCAACAGCACATCTGACACTCTTCCATATACAGTTTGCTTTTTATACGTCCCATTTAACACGATTTTCATTACAATGTCTCTATATGCGTCTCAAAAATACTGCGCCAAGGCGATTGTTGCAAGTAAATCGATTCCCGTTATTTTATTCAGCTCCAATTGGCTTTAGTCGATACCGACTACTTTTACCGATATAGGTAAATTTCTCTTCGTACAGATGTAGCAAACTTTTATAAAATGGTCGCATTTTTCGTACCTACTGAATTATTCGATCCGGCATTCAGTTATAAACTTGCCGTTTTACCTCGTTTGTGTTACTATATTAAAAGAGATCATAATCTTGGATCATATCGCTACAAGTAGTATAAGGCAGTTCAACATAATATAATTTCTTACCTTTGTATTTTCTTGTTGTTTCGCCTAAGGGTGAAAGTTAATTATCTTGTTTTTAAAGGAATCTAGAAGAAATGTATTTTCCGTGAAAATCTTTGTCGACAGAAACGAGATCATGTTTCATTTTCCTGAGTTTCACCAAAGGAAACATTTGTTTTTTTTTGCGCAAAGCTATTGCAACTTTGGTTAGATACAGAATGTCCGAATAGGTATTTGAATAAGGATAAAATTCTTTAATCGTGCAAATCGTTAATGTGCGTTAGCAGTACGACGGAATCTCAATTTTGTTTTTATTTGCAATACGTTGTACCTACGCTGTAACGAAGCACCCGTTCTCCGCCTGGAAATTACTAGTTTTAGTGATCACTCTGTAGATGAACTCCCGGTATCAAGAAAGTAGAAAAGTTTTAAATTTGCCGCTTCGTTACTAAGATTGTCGCTTCGAAAATATCTATTTCTGCGTAGGAGTTGGAAATATAAGGTAGAAATTGGTTGTTAAGCCGCCCATTAAGGAAAATAAGAGGCCGAATTATAATTTTTCCGTTTGCAACCGTTCCTGTACGAATATTCCAATTGTTTTTACATAAGCCGAAAGCTCTCTTGCCAGGGATGAAGAGGGACAGTCAATCTTATTCAGTGTTAGGTCCGTTAGTTAGTCATTAATCGATTTCAATTTTCTAGTGGTATACGAAATTTAGAATTACAACCAGCAAGGTCGTGCAGTTTACGGAAATAGGATAGGACACTCCGTCGTTTGACCTCACATTCCAAGGAACAAAGGAGCATTGCTGAATTGCGGAACTTGGAGATTTTATTCCGACTATTTGGATAAGTATAATTAACCGAAATTAGATAAATGGGTTACACAAGAACAGCCTCCGATTAAGTCAAGATTACATCCGGTCGATGCGCCCCTAAAAAATTTGAATTTTGACACCGGCCCCGTATTTTTAAGACGTCTGGTAAGGACGTAATTCATTCAAAACGGTTTTAATTTTCTAGCGTTATCGCAAGAGCATGCCGTCGAGCTGGAAAATGCGTCGTTCCCCCATGGCACAGACGACTTTTTACTTATTTTGTCTGAAATTAATTCTACCGCGCCGTATTTAAATCTTTTGCTTTTGGTGGTTGAGCGAAATGTAAGTTTAACCGAAACGTAAAATCTTTTGCCTTTGGTGTTTAACCGTATTTGAATCTTTCGCTTTCTGCCTTTGGCACTTCCAAACTTCGTTTTGTAAGTCCCGTAGTTTTCCGTAAATTTATTTTGCATTCATACCCAAGTAGCACGCAATATGGAAGCAATAATGGCTATAAACTGGCGCAACATTGACTTCATATTGTATTTTTATATTGCGCCAACATAGAATGTGAACGCTTTTAAAAATTGGGCCAATATAGTTAACAATATTGGTTCAATATCACTTACAATATAAAACCAATACTGTTATACTACATTGGCCCGATCTCATAGTTACAATATCGGGGAAATATTGCAGCCTACATCGGACCAATGTAGGATGTAAATGCTTTGTAAACATGGGCCAATATTGTTGAACTATATTACCACAATATAGAATGGAAATAAACCTTGATTCAATATTTTCTCACAAGGCCGAATCAATACTGTTGGAGGATATTAAACCAGAGTGGTTCTACGTATGTAACTGTACAACATAATAAAATAACAGGTAAATTGAAAAGCGTAGGAAAACGGAATATCGAATTTATTCTGTAAAGAAAGAAAATGATGTAAAACTAAGATGTTACAATTCACGATTTATACTTTTCCCTTTCCTTGCGACCCCCCGTCCTACTCTGCAGCAGAGGCGAAAGTCCCACTCACAAGACCCAACAGCTTGGATTTTATTCTTAACTGTAACTAAACAATATCAAAGATTAAAAAATTACTTATGAAAATTGATATAATATCTGGTTATTAGCACAAAATCTACGTCGTGCCTACATCTTAATGTTTATGCAAGCATTACCAAACCAAAAAACTGAATCTTATAAGATAATACCTATATAATAGGTACTTACCCTTTATTCTCAGTTTCTCACAGGATGCACTAATAAAGAAAGTCACCAAATACTCGCTGACAATACTAACACTTGCACATCTACAAATACAAAATGAAATAATTCATAATCACACAGATCACGTAAACATTAAGTGTAGGTCACCGTGGTGTAGTTAGATATGCTTAATGGCGTGCTTATGCAGCGTTGCGCAAACTCTCCGAAATGATGCTATACTTAAAAGTGCTGTCTCATGTTTTTAATTACATAAAGGCCCAAGATTGTGCCCATATGTTTTTTCCTATATTGATTAATACAATATAGGCCCAATGTCGATAATATCAATATAATAAGATATCGAATTCAAACATTAGACCAACATTGCGCCAATATTGTTTTGTTCTATGTCGATTAAAAGAACATAGGTCCAATACCGACAATATCGATATAATAAACATATTGACTATACAATATTAAACCAATATTGGAAATATACGTGTGAGACTACATTGACTGACCAACATTGCGCGTATATGGTTTTTTTGTACATTGATTTAAACAATATATGTACAACGTCGATATAAACAATGTTGGTTACATAATGTTAAACCAATATTGAACCATTATTAGAAATATCCATATAACATTATATTGGTTATTCCAGATTGCGCCCATACCAGAATTATCTATATAGAATTATATTAGATATTCTATATTGATCCAACATTAACTTTTAAAATGTTGGATTTACAATATATGTTATATATAGGTGTAACATTGATGATATTCCATATGAATTTTACAGAGATTTTAACATGTAGGTCCAATATAGAAAACGATATGCAATATTGCGCCAACATATTTATATTGGGCCTAGATATCCCCTTTCTAATGCCAAGATTATGTGCTACCTGGGTACTATCTAAATTTTGCTTTTACATTAAGTTTACCGCCCCGTAACTACAGCTTAATTGCTTTTTCCTGCAGATCAATTGCAACCGCTTATGCAAGGTAAGCTTTTTACTACTTTCCATTTCATTAACTATAAGGAGGGGAGTGAGGGGGGTATTTTCTCGTTTCCTGCATTTCTTTCCCGTAGAAACCGCTACCGAATCCGATTATTTACTGTTCTCGCTTAGTAGCCGACCACTGCTTGCCCTTTAGAATGCCTGCGACCGCCGTTTGAGTTACCTGGATCTTACCATCGCCGACCGCATCTTGTCCATAATCAAAAGAGACGGAACTTCTGGTGGCGTCCGAAGCACACCCGTTCCCCCGATTCCTGCCCCCGGTCCGCCGACTATCACCACCATCATCGTCTACAAATTTTGACTTGCAAATTACCGCTGGTGCGACGGACTGGATTAGCTCGCGCACAATCGGCTTTAAAATTACAGAATTACAGAATAATAATTGAAATTTAATTAAGAGAAAAATAAGTAAATATACAAATTATATGGTCATTAACAGTGGTGTAATAGCTGCAATCGGCGACAATCAGTTCTGTCGGCGGGCGACGGTGAAACGGCGGCAATAATCGGCTGAGCGGACAGACGGACGATCTCGGGCGCCACTAAGCAAAAATCTCGGCTGTCTCGTTATGGCCTCAAATGAAAACTCAACCAGAGGAACGGTAACCAGGAGTCGGTCGGGTCCAGCAAATGGCGGCGATCACATTCGCAAAACTAAAACAAAATTACGGCAGACTCCTTGGCGGGAGCGAAAGAAACAAAACACAAATCGGCAGAAGCGATGAAAAAAGTTGCTAAAATCGAATACGAGTAAGAAAATAAGGGTTAAAAATGCATTTACGGCAATGCTAGAAATGAATACGGTGCTTAAAAATGTAATAGGCAAAAATGCAAAAACAAAAGATCTAAATTTGTTACGGTTGCAAAAGTAAAGATAAAAATGCAAAAGCTTTAACTTACGGCAAGTACTACGGTACGGTTTCGCAAAAATTTACTAAACAAATTAGGTTACTTACGGCAAGAATCAAAAATAGCAAAAGATTCCCACAAAATCAAGCGTTCACCTTATAAAGAAATGCGAATGTTAGGGAAGTGGAATATATATGGAAAATCCAGCTCGTTGCTGTATTCAGTGCGAAAGTGCAGTTATCGGAAAAACGTATCCGGAGACACATCTCAAGACCGTTTTGATAACGTCCACTGCAACTCATTAAAACCCAATTAGACGCATTCAAACTTCAATACTCATTAATCCAATTAACACTTAGAACTAATAAACTGTTTCAAACCAATATAGACAACAAGCGACAAACACAGACGGACGGACAGAAAGTTCAAATTACCAAAAAATTTAATTAGTTAGCCCCTTGAACGTCTACCTACTACTGAAACAGAATTGGAAGATTCGAAACCGTTCGCGAGTTATCATGTACACAGACGGACGGACAAAAAACCAAAATCATGAATAAATAAGTAATACAACCGCACTGTGTTAAAGTTTAAATCGCATAGAACGTATAATCGATTTAAAGAAATGTACCTAATACAGTCCATTCCCAAGTCATTAACTTTATACTGCGTCAGTTGTGAACGGTATTAAACGTTAACGGTACAATAAACGTTAATGATAATTGACGTTTTAGTAGAAACATTAATTTACACTTCGAAGTTATAGCAGTGTAAATCTGTGCAGCTACCTCAATGTAACCTGGATTTTGCATTTATTAAAATGTACAACGGCGTTATGGTCGCGGCCACTGTTGTTGAAATACCAAGTGGCAATTTAGTTCTGAAGGCGTAGAATTTAATAGAATATTGGAAGCTTCACCGCCCTATTTATAAAGCTTATTTCAATTTGTCAATATTAGATTGAGAGGTTGGTTTGTTTTGAAGATATCTATAAATTTCGGATTTTTTGTTGCGTGACTGATCAACCGAATTCGTTTAATACCATAAACGTCTTCCTGAATCCCTCGCTAGGTTGAGCAAAAAGTAGTTTAGGTTAGGGCCATTATTTTTTGCCGCAAATATAATGGGATTATAGCCAATATGTTTTGGGAAATTGCTTAATTTATCAGCTTGTCAGTCTGATTCGCTATTAGACGATCATTCACAAATAAATTCTTGGCGATGGAGATGTGACGGGTTTAATCTGATATTGATACTGAGCCACCTTGTTGCCACTCGTGCGGGTGTCAGAATCTCAAAAAAGACGTGTAGTTTATTACGTGGCGATCACTATTTAACGTAATACCCATTCCCACCACGGACAACGCCATTCTATCTCTGTATAGGCTGGTCCACTAATTTGGATATTGTTTCCCGTTCTATGTCGAGAGAGAGAGACGCTCGGTTTTACTGTTGTTGAAGAGGAATAAGGAATCTTGCCTCAAACATTTCAAAAAGGTATAGTTACGTAATTATGGATTTTCTCGCCGTCAGTATTCGTCAAACGTTGCAATTAAATTCATATGTAAGACTTTTTATAAAGGTAGTTAATCGACTTTTTTTGTTTAATACTGGAAAAAGGTCGAAATAAGCACCTAAACTGTGTATCTGGGAGGAAGCTAAGTGACTTCTTTCAGCAGCTTATTCATATCAATAAGTTCGGCGAAAATGGCATGCTGCTTTTTAATCGGCACGCTCAATATTGATGGTTCAATGACATGTTGTATTGGATTCGATTGTTGTCCGACGGTGCGCATATGCAGGCTAACTCCACAGATATACACAAACAACAGATTGCTAACCTTATGCATTTAATGGGTAACACATTCAGGTATGCAGTGACTATAGAGACAGTGGTGACAATAGGATCCCAGCCCCCATGATGCATGTAAAATTCAAATTAGAAGTTAACAACAGACGATATAATCATAACATGTGTTGCGTACACTACAATTCAATATTATTTATACTCGATGCAACAGGGTCGCCGATCTTAACAACCAAACAAAAATTCAACACTATTGTCGCCACTATCTCCTTTAAGGTGACTGTATACCTAAATTACAGTGACTTTATAGAGCATGGGTGGGCAAACGGTCGATCGCGAACAGTTCGTCAGTCGATCGCACACATGCACACATTTTAATTATTTTAGTAAAATTATTTCGTATTTTTTATGTGTCGTATTTATTACGAAATTGTACTCTGGGTTAAATTGCAGCCGGAAGCCATAGAGATATATAGAGACAGTGGCGGCAGTAAGAGCCCAGTCGCCATGTTGCATCAAAAATTCAAATTAGAAGTAAATAACACACAGTACACGTATGTGTTGCGTACACTACAACACAATGTTATATACAGGGTGTTCATTTGAAAACTTCCCACAACGGATTTATCGAAAACCACTGATTAAAGGAAAACACGGCGAGACACGTCAAAAGATTCGTTAAAGGGGACAACTTTTTAAGAAAAAACTACTTCACCCCCTTTCACCCTCTACCCCGGGGTTTTATTTTTTGACAAATCATATCGAGTAATAGCTTGTTTGGAAGGTCTTTCGAAGTCCTTTACTTTGGCGTTTGATTTTTTAAAATCGGTCGATTCGTTTGTCATTTGTTATAAATTATAATTACAATTGTTATAAAAGTATTGTCGTAAATTGTGTATTTGTGTTTGGTGCAATAGTCCTTGCGTACGAGGTAGGTAAAGCCGTATAGTAGAAGAGTAAGGCCATCTATATTGTGTTTTGTTAATAGTGCACGGATGTTTCTCTGTATTTGTTCTAAATCTCTGATTGCAAATTCCACTGATACCTAGGCGTTAGATAAATTTAACTAAAATACGATGTAAAAAACTATACTGTATTGACTAATGAGCTGGCACCGACAAATAAAACTGCTGACAAAATCTGAATTTGATTGATTGAATTTGAATTTCTTAACTTCGAAAAACTAAGTAGTCAAACCCAAATGCAATGTTTTTCAAAATTAAGAAATTCAAATTCAATCAATCAAATTCAGATTTGGCGACTAACTTTGGTTACAAGGGTCCTGAATTCGAATCCCAGATAAGGCATGGCTGTTCGTGATTGTATAGTGGGTTGAGTGGGAAGAGTAGCTATTAGCTTCACCCACTATAAAATAAAGGCGATAAAATTAACAAAAAAATAAAAATAAAATTAGTATCC